AAGAACGAACGAAATCATGGGATTCGGACAGATGCTCTCATTTGCACAAAAATTCGATTTTCAATGGAGACTCGAATGAATTCAACTAAATCTCTCGTTCGTGGTGGTTCACCCAACCGATGATCCCCAAGAAGAGCGGAATCGGTCATTGACTGTCGGCGGTTTTTCAGCAACCTTCCGAATAGTGTAGTACATTCAAATCATGAAATTAAGCATTATAGTATGCTCAGAAAACGATCAGGGTGTGATCATTCTGGCGTTAAACGCTGAGCAATCCACAAACCGGTGGATTTTGCGACTCTACCTGCGGATCGTAAAGGAAGGATCAATGCACCCAATTCCACTAGAAAATTTCAGTAGTAACCTTCGCAGCCTAACAGGAAAACATTTCGAGCCTGGGACGACTGGTCCACGTGGGAGTAATGTTGGTCCACTTGGGTCAGTAGCTCAGGTGCATGGAAGCGAATTTAACCGTGGTCAGAATTTTGGAGAGTAAAACACTCGGTGAATTGCTGGCTTGGTAACGTTTTCAAAACAAAATGATGCTCCAGACGAGGTATGTTGACAGATTGGAATCGGTGTTGCGTGTCGCTCACAATTTTTTGTTGAATAAAATGCGTAAACTGGTATTACGATAGTAGCATTGCCGGTGTGCTTTATCTTACTGAGAAACGAATATTGTTGAAGGAAAGTGTGTATGAAATAAAGCTGCTGTATTGCGTTTAAATCCCAGATTCCAGAGCTTACTGGTATAAATAGAAAGCTTGAAACCAAAGGTGCCTCAAAGGGATTCACCAAGATTTATCAACTTTGTCATACCATACGATGAAAATAGATTTCGAAAACAGTTTTGTTTCATCTATCTATCCGGTATATGTTCACTATAGAGGCTATGTTAAATGACAGGGTCTGTTTCGGGACTTCCTGATTAGCGATGAGGCTGTAACATTCCTCGGAACACATGGACCAAAATTTTATGAAACAATACTTAGAAACAATCGAAACAATCACGACAAACATTTACTGATGAGAGTCAGCGGTTGCGCACAACTTACACGAAGTCTCGTGGTTTTGAGGAATTAATTGGGAGGATTTTCAATAATTTGTCACCGGGTATCGATGTGTGCGATTAGGATGTATTGGCCTGCTACTGAGGTTGTTGTAA